ATTGACTATGAGCAGCAACATCAATTCCAGGACATAATATACATCAATCTATTTGACTAGCGTACCTGATAATGCAATTTGGAAACAAGATACTGTTTCACAATAGTACAATTATCCTTGATTCTAATGTTCGAAAAGAATATACGAATTACGTATATTAACATTACTACCTATAATACAATGATCTGCAATTACAGATCTTGTAACTTAGTATTATTTCCTAACGTACTATTAAATCCAAGAATACAGTCTTTTTCCAAAATGCAACCCTTAGCAAGAGCAGTTTCGTGTTTATATGTGCTCTGCGGCATGCATATAAAATTCTTCAATGAAGAAAAGCATCTGCCACCAAAGGGAAAGTATGCCTATGTTAAAACATCTTGAGTAAGCATATGGTAAGCCTTCCATGATGTAATTGGCAAGGCATAATCCTCGACATCTAACTGCTGCCAATAAATTCTCGAGTCTAATATCTCTTCATTCATCAATACCCCTCGAATAAAATCATCCATAGTCTAAAAAAATATTTTAATATATTTACACTTTATTTGCTATTATATATATTTGCTATTATATAAATATATTTATATAAATTTGCTATTATAAAAAATATATTTACTAGTATTGCTATTATGCAAATACTTATGACTACTACTATACTACTAGATATATATATATGAATATATATATATATATAGTTATTACTTATCACAATTAAAAAAATGCAAAATTTGATATTTTATACAACAAAATAATTTAATTTAATTACCTGAAAGTCAAAATTGTCAGCAAACAGTGGCAAGACAGACGGTGAACATAAATAAATATGAGTATCCAAGTAGCATGTGTTGAGCTCTATTTCGTTATGATCAAGGAACCAGTTTAATTCCAGCTTTATTTTTTCTTTTCCTTGTTCTTCTTTTGTATAATACAGTATTTTGTTGCTGCTTTTATCTGATACAACCAAAGAGGTTTCCTCATTCATGTAAGAATCCTTCGTTGAACCAAAATTTCTTAATACCATGGTCATGGCTGCCCTTTATCTTTCTCGACTTTCAAACAATGTGCATTAAGCAGGGTTTTAGATCTGTATTAACAAATGTATTTCCTCGAATCAGTATAAAGTATCCTCTGATCCAGCCCTTTGTATCAATATCTCGCAAAGCATCTCCAAGGGAGCTACAGCCATCGGAAATGATTAAAGAGATTGTAGTTCCTTTGTAATCCTTTTCCTTCACGTACTTCTTAAGCAGATCGACATGACTGCTACAGTAAAGAAATACTTCTTGTATTCTAGACTTGATCAATGTTTCGATCATATAATCGAAAAGCGGTACGTTTATCACCGGTATCAGAATGCTCGGGAATATTATTTGCGATGGTGATAAACGTGTCGTAAAATCATCCGCAAGAATAACAGCTTGCAGAACATCCTTCTTACACACTTTTGATGTCATTTCAATGATTAATAAATTTAGTTATTAATAGTTCACTCTAGTACATATGTGTAATATTTCGTTGAGAAAAAAACATAAAATAACCTTACAAACACGTAAAAATTGCTCAAGAAAAATAGGAGGTTAACTTTAGCGCCACCTGCCTGTCTACTTTCAAGTATGACCATAGACATAGAATTTATAGTAGAGTAGCAAGTTTAAGAAAAAATTTCATTTTCCTTGGTCAATCAAATCTTACAAAATCGATGCGCGCAAAAAATATGTATAATTTGAATCAAAATTTAAATAGGCATATATATATATATGCACTTATTCTTATAATCTTATATCAATAAGAATACATAGGATATGTATCAATATCTATAACATAATGATTAATTCGTATATACATTATAGATCCTTACATTTAGAAAAATTAATTATCGCTTTAAATGACTGAAACTTTAATTAAAAAATGAAAGAGCGGGTTTCAAAATACACGTTCTTATTAAAGTCAATTTTATCTCTTTAGGAAATGTTTTAATAAATAATTTTATATATATAAAAACTTTATTTCTTTCTTTTTTAAAGATAATCATTATACACATTTAAAATTATGAATTAAAATTATAGAAATATATATGTATTAAAATCGCCCAGTTGCAGATTTTTAAAGTGAATGTGTATTAGTAAAAATGTAAATGTTTCCATTTCAGTTCTATATTCTGTTTGATATCTTATAATTTCATCTGTTCTATACATCTATTCTTTCTGTGATATATGTGCATATTTTTAATGTAATAATCATTTTGAGATAACAATAAGAACTAACTACAATCTACGATCTACATCTATATACCTACAATTTTGAGGTAACGTGAACTAACTACAATCTATGATCTAGATCTATATTTACCATCTACATCTACACTGAAAAAAAAATTTGTAAATTTAGTAAACCTTTCAACTAAATTACTATTTTGTTAAATCAATATATATTAGTATTTAAGTCAAATATATACGTTTTGTTAAATTTAATGTTATATTTAAGTATTCTTATAGATTTAACAAAATAATATTTAGTTGAAAGGTTTAGTCAAATTAACAAATTTTTTTCAGTGTATACAATCTACTCTCTACCGTTACCTCCGAATAAAATTGATTATATAATCACTCACCGACCGATGCACAACAGCGGAGTTATCACTGCATCGAAGCTACGTTGACCTGTAACATACAAATAAAATCAAAATTATAGCAACGCTTTGCATAATTAATATTTAAAAAAAATTATTAGTGTGCCCATTAAATTTTATATTAAATGCGTACAATTATCAGTAGATTGTAATTGAGTAACTTTATAAGTTTTAATTTATTATCTTAATTTTAATTTATTAATTTATTTCTTTTCTAAACTTTATAAATTTGGTAAAGATTATATATAATAAACTTTTGTAAGACTTATTAAAGTATATTTATCTCTAATTCTCTTTATGTTTAAATCATTCAAATATAGAAATAGAATAACGTAACATATATCCAATTTATAACAAGTATTATATGCAATATTACAAATTACAATACTCACCCCAAAGTTGCTCCGCTGGCGCCCGATGCCTCCTATATAGGCCTGCTTCTCCTCTCAGGTCAAGTTGATCAGAATTCGTTCATTGTTTACAGTCCGTCAATTTCCGAAATATGCGCGAATATTTTTGAAAGGCACTCCCGCACTAAACGCGCGATACTTCAAACGAAACTCCCGCACTAAACGCGCGATACTTTGGACGACACTCCCGTATTAAATACGCGATACTTTCCGCAAAAATCCCGCACTGAACGCACGGTACTTTGAACATTTTCGCACTAACAATAAAACAAGCGATAATTTTTATAACTATATTTCTAAATAAAATCATTATTTTCGTATTGAAAATTTTATATTTTAATATTTTTATTACGCGTCAATTATCACGAGAATTCAATAATAAATCAGTGTAACCGACCAATTTCAAATTAAGGAAAAATTAAATAAACTAATGCATACTAGAATTTGTATTAAAAGTTGTAAAATATTGTCGTAAATTATTATCGTCGCAAAATTTTAATTACTATTATTTTAATTTATTCTTATAATCGCGATAAAATACCCGCAAAATATTTTTTAGATCTCACATTATTTTACACAATTTTGTTTTAACTAATATGTAATCAACATAAACTATATGTATCAACATAAATGAATGGATTACAAAACAGTAATATAATATCGATACATTATAACAATAAGTAATTATGTAATTATAATTATATATCAATTATACAAAAATTTATAATCACACACAGTTATCATAATCATTAATTATTGTGCGCTTTGTAAAATAAATTAGATTAAATATACTACGTATATGAATTATAAAATGTTTTCCGTATTTCTTTTAATTATTCCGGAAATATTCTTAATCTATATCTATTTATTTATAATCCATTCATTTTGAGGTAACGGAACTATCTACCAATCTACAATCTACAATCTAGATCTACATCTACAATCTAATCTTTACACCGTTACCTCGTAATAAAATAATTTATTACTTATCGGTCGATGCGTAACAGTGGAATTACGAAGCCACGCTGATCTGTAAAATAAAAATAAATTCAAATTATAGCAACACCACCATCCAGTAATTAATATTTCAGTAAATTATTATTGTGTGTCTGTACATGGAATATTATTTTTTTTACGCGCGTACAATATTTAGCAGAAGAATAATTAAAACATTTTATGAATTTTAATTTAATACAATTAATAGACAAATAATAAAACCTCACCTTAGGATTGCTCCATCAGTGCCCAATGCCTCTCCCAGGCCTCCTCCTCCTCTCAGGTGTCAATGTCCTCTGTATTCAAATTATCTGTAAAATAGAAATTATATAAATCCTCAAATTATAGCAGTATCTAAAACGATTAATGAGTAAAAAATTATTCATTGAATTCAATGCATATTATTACATGCATTGAATTTTATATTTGATGTGTACAATAAGGATATTAATAATAATTTATTTATTTTATGATTTTTTATTTAATTTAATAATAGACAAATAAATACCTTAAAACAGCTTCATCTACGTTCTATGCCTTTCCCAAGATTTTCTCCTCCTCTAAGATTGTCAATATCTTCAACAAAGATCTGTAAGATAGAAATTAAATTTACATTGTAAGATTGCCTAAAATAGTTAAAAGTAAAAAATTATTATTTATTGAAATCAAAATTTTAATGATTGTATATTTTCAATTATTTTATATTTGGTGCATATAATTATAATAATTAAATAAAAAATGTAGTAAAATAACAATTAAATTTTATAAATGTAGTAAAATAACAATTAAATTTTATACATTTTGATTTAATTTAAATAATAAACGAATAATAAATACCCAAAAATTATTCCATCTATGCTTTATGTCTCTCTTAGACCTCATCCTTATACAGAATTGTTGTCTTCAGCAAAATTAATCTGTAAAATAAAAATTAAATTAATATTGTAAGAGTGCATAAAATAATTGACATGTAAAAAATAATTATTATATATATGCATTGAATTTTTTACTCGATAAGTATGCAATAATAAACACAAACAAATATATATATATATATATATATATATATTTAATTTTATTATACGATATATATTTATAATATCTACATTTATTAATAAATTTTTATTTAATGTAATTAATAATAATAAATACCTAAAGCATTCGGATATCATTTCTTTTGCGGCTTTCAAACTTTTGCATGAGTCCTTTTATTGCTACGTATTATTACGTTTTTTGATCTGTAACATAGAAAAAATTAATTATTCTAAAACTATTTAACACATTTATAATTGCGTTACTTTTTTTGTTCGCAATGCGCGGCGACACGTCCGGATTATAATTAAAGATAAGTAATGTGTACGATAATATTGAAATACCATTGGCAATATGAGAACCGCTGTCATAATCAACCTACGATTTATATAAAAATTACGAACCTAATTCGTCGCGTAACGATACTTCGACACGATGATGAGAAAGTACGACCGGAAACGCATTAGAATACGATCGAGAACGTCGAAAAACTCCGGAAATTTTCGCGCTGAAAGCATCTGGTAATTCTCGCGACCCGTCCTTGTAAACTTGCACGCGCATAATAATAAACTTTTGGCGGCTCGAGTTTTTGGAGGGAAACATCCGAGATTCACAGTCGACGAGATGATGAATTTCGTGCTTGCGATCGTGATTACGTTGTCAGATCACAGATGTACATGCGACGCGATTGAATTTTATACGATAATTAATAATGTGAAGACGTTAATTAATACTCGTGATCGTAATTTTCTCCAACTTTTGGCGGCTCGAATTGGAGCTAATGTCGCGCGGTTTGGAAGGACGAATATTGAGTGAGATTTGCGGTTGATGAGATTAATCTGGCGCGTATTATCGCGATCACGATATTGATACATGCAACGCGATCGGATTTGTATGATAATTAAAGATGTAAAGCCATTAATTAATACTTACGCTTGTACTTTTGGCGGACCGGCGATAAAGAGCGCGCGAACGTTGGTCGTGAACGATGAGAAATGAGAAAGTACACTAGAGGGCAGGCAACAGCCCTAGATTGTGTTCGGAAATATATCGCTTAGAGTGAAGCGCGCTATTGACCAATCAGGAAAGCCTCGCTCTCCGATTGGTCGAAGCGCAAAATTTAATTAATCAATACAATGGTTCTCCAAAAAATAATTAAAAAATATGAAAAAAAACACGACATATTTTGTGACATCATGGATTTACTTAATTATGTATATAATATTAGTTTTATCGATAATTAAAAGACATATTTGCGTAATTCTAGACAGTTTAACATAGATTTAGATGTCGGAGTCATTTTGTCAATTTGGAAAAATTAATTATTATTTAAATGACTGAAACTTACCTTGAATCCTATATCATATAATTTGCTTACAATATTTTTTATATTTAATATACTAATAATATAGTTAAATCATATATAATTGAAAATGTTGTTTGTGAGTCTGAAATAATTACAATTTTGCAAATTATATAGGCAAGCTTTCCTTACTCTAAGTCGTCTATATGTCTATTTTATTTCTAAATAACAACGTTATCACGTGATATGATAACAATATTATCATTATAAAGTCATTAAAACTCGAAATAGATAACATATAATAGAAGAATCTTGTTATTTAATTTGTGAAATTGTACAGTCATACTTCAAACTTACAAATAAACAAAGTAATTAAGAGCACATACCTATCATTAAAATTTAATTATATTTTTAATATATCTTCATATGATAATATAATAATTCAAAGAATAAACAGATATAAATAAATTCTCAGTGAGAATCTATTAAAATTATAAAATTTTGAACTTACATTTGTATACAATTTTTTGGAAGCATTTTGCATTAATCAGAAAAAAATGTTAAATTAAAAAGAACAATGAAAATTATCTTATAATCTAGACTAAAAGAGAATAAAAAATACAGACATTTATTAGAAAGTAATCATCTACTTTCAATTTTTTTATTTTTCTTAATATATATAATTCAAAGTTTTTAATGTTTGTTCTAAATTCAATGCAATAATTGCAATTGTCATAACAGTTCAAAATCTTACAATAGTTACCTAATCTGATTAACACTATAAATTTCTTCGCCTAGTATATTGTGCGATATAAGAAATTTTATATAATATAATACGCATGTGTTTAATCACTGATTTAAAGATAAAATACAAAATTAATTGTATGCATGTATGTAATGTATGTTGTGTGTGTGTGAGACAAATAATAAAAATACAATTATTCCAAATAAAACATTCAAATTGATGACTATATAAAACTACATATAATACTTAAAAAAAGTTAAATAAAAATAATTATATATCTTAACACAAATAAAAGTTATCCTTCTTGTTAATACAAAAGAAAATCTATTTCATTCAATTTGATCTACATTTAATCAAAAGTATAATTCAGAAATTACCAAAGTTATGTAATCCCTATATACATATGATAAATAGACAAATAAAACGTGTTTAGCTTGATTCAAAGATAATTTTTGCTTTATTATAAATTCTTTTTATGTTCATCTATATCATGAGCTCTTTAAAATATAAAAAAATTAATTTTAAAAATAAATTTAAACTAAAAAAAATTTTAGTAATTTCTTTAAATTTGTCTCTATCAAAATAGTATAAATTACACATTTGCATTTATAATCTGTTCGATTTATATTAGCATTTCTACAATCACTATAAAATGATTGTAGCAATTACATATAATAATTTATAATTATAGCAAAATATAATTATATGAAAAATGTATATTGTAAAAAATATGAAATTAACATGTAATGTGCGTCTATAATATTATTATTATTATACTATTGTGTTAATGCTGAAAAATTTTAATAAAATTAAATTATAAAAAATTTAAACATTTCCAGAAATTTCTTAAAAATTGTAATTATTAAATTTTTTATCAAACAAAATATATTGGAATAATTTATTCCATATTGCATTAACACAATGTGTTAGTAAGTTTGTATTATTTATTTATATATGCATATTGATGAACATTTTTGTGCTTTTCAATATTCTTTATATCTTCTTGACTAGATATAATAAGTCTTGCTAAACATATTGCTTTGTTATTTCTAAGCCCATATATTTTCACATATCATTTGTTATAAATCATAAAAGACGAAATTTTCAAATTAAAAATGTTATATAGTTTAGATTATAAAATACAATATTTTGTGTATTATATGTATGTGTGGAAAGCACTAATTTGATTATTAAGTCAAATAGAGTTTCAAAATTTACTGAAACATATTATTATAAATATTAATATGTAAATGTTAAAACATTAAAAAATATTAATAGTTATTTCGTAGAAATATATAATTATGACAAAATAATCATTTAAAAATATCTTTTCGTGAATATTTTTTGTTATAAGTATAATTTAACAAATATATATATATATATATATATATATATATATATATATACACATACATACATATATATATATATATAATGCATTGTATAATAAATTCTATTCTTTTCTAATTGTTGTAATTTTTTGCATATACATATAACATATAATCATAATTTTTTCATATATATATGTTATAATATTTAAAATACTAATTAAATTTATTTTAAGATATATAATATTTAAATTTTAATTTTATCAGAAAAAAAGAGAAAAAATATAATATATTTTTATATCTTTTTAGAAATGTTCTCTTCTTTATTCACAATTAAGATAATCTTATGTACTGCATCCATACACATATTGATTATATTGGAATTATAAATCCCAATATAATTAGTACACGAATATTATATTTTTGTCATTAATTAAATTAATATTTATAAAATGTATAAAATTGTGGAAACATGTTATAAAATCATTATATATCTCGATATCAGGAAAAATTTTGTGATTCATATTACATAATTTTCTTAAAAATTTGTGTTTGAACACATTTAATAAAATTTTATACGTTTTTCTGCAATATCAAAAAGTTATAGGTGAAAACAAAATTTAATTTATCACAGTTTCCCGAATTATAATGATATATATGACTAATTGCTATTAAATAAAATAATCTAAATACTTCAGAAATTATCAATATGAAATTGTTATCAATATGCATAACACTTCATGTAAAGTAATATTAAGAAAAAAAAAAAGAAAAAAATACTGGGATATGGCAAAAATAAGATATTTCTGAACACAATAAGAACTAGTGACATTAAAAATTGCATTAAAATATATAAAGATATGTGAAAAATTAAGTGTGAGAAAAGGAACTTATAAAATAATATATAACTTAATGAATGCTAAGCACATCTACAAATGAGATCAAAGTACACATGACATGTATGACTTGTACTATGAGAACAAGATATTGGCATAAATATATTTTTGATAAGTGAAATAAGTAATAGAAATTTGCCAAAATACTCTAACATCAGCATAGAATATGTTTTAATACTGCACCCATACCTATTACTGCGCATTATTTTATATACCTTTTACTTTCCATAAAATTTACGACTTTATCTTAGGAATTTTATAATTTCTATGTAATACTAATTATAAATATTTTATTTATGACAGCAATGAATTTCTTATGTAAATTTACAGGTACTAATTAATTATGCGCATGCACAATGGAAACTTTATACTGCTGCAAAGTATGCACCAGTTAGATAAGAGCTCTAAACTGATGACACATCATACAGTCACTGGTGGCCTATATTCTTTGTTAACGACATAAAACTTGTGTTTCTTACCGAATAAACCCCATATGACAGCAACGTTCTCAATAATTATATTGAACGGAATGGTGGACAATGCACCGCATATACAAAGCATAAATCGAGCCACACCAAAACGATACAGAGAAAATGACTTCACTACTCCGAAAACATACATGTAAATATTTACCGCCCCGATAAACGCGCATAGAAAATCGATCAATGGTGGACAGTTAATCGGACATAATCCGGCTAAGACGATATTAGAAGTGGAAAGAGGCATCGTCACCCATGAATAACACGAAATACCCAGCAATAATTTTTTCTTAATGGAATTGCTTTGGAATGCACAACAAGTAATATACCTTGCAGCCATCTTTTTCTTTGCTGTACAAAATCCCATAGAGTGAATGGCGATTTCTCCCACATTTCGCCTTCTACAAAGTTAAACGTATATCCCTGGGAAAATGCTTTCATCGCAAAGAAACAATCCTCGGCGACGGAGCCATCTAATCCATTATTAAACGAAACTTGCTTTTCTGCTCCCATCTGTAATATTTTGTAAACATCTTAATATGTATAAAAATAATAAAATAATAAATACATCCGTATAAAATAACATTGACCCATATATAAAAATACAATATATATACAGAGTAAAATATATTTTATAATAAATTTAAACTTTTTCTGTAATAAGATTCATAAATTAGAAGATAAATTTAGATAGATAGATTAGATTAAAATCTGATTAAAAATTACCTGTGTGACAACATAGGACCCTTTCATACTAAAAATGGTTTGTGGAACATGGTGAACTGGAATCTTAGCTTTCCCATATCATCCGCTACTCTGAAGCTATCAGCTAATGTGGTAATCCAGTTAACAACATCTTCATTAGCATATGTGATTAATCCTTGGCCAAACTGATGTTTACCATCCAATATAAAGTTCAATATGCCCCGAACAGAATTCTCAGTCATCAAAGTTTCTTCATCAAGATGAACAATCCAGTCGTGATCAGCTAATTCGTTTACCGAGCTCTCAAGGCAGTATTGTAAAGCACGAGCCTTGAACAAGGCACCACTACTTGTGCGATAATTTTGAGGGACAACAACTTCTCGTACTCTGCGATGCGGTGTTAAACCTACTGGTTTATCACTCACTACCTCTATTTGGAAATTCTCAAGACCAGCTTCTGTACATTTATCTAAGTTTCTTTTTACATTTGTTTTCACTAATTGTGGGTAATCCCCACGAGTCACTATTCTTATACAAACAAACGGTGCCAGCAGAGGTGAGCCTTTCAAGATTACTTTATCAGGGAATGCATTGTATATTGTTAATCCTATAAAGTTGAATAAAACTTGAGGCAAGGAAAGAAACGTTACTGTACGCAACAGGTACAAAGTGATTGCTCCAATAATGCCGTATCGTGTCCATGGATCGATTTCTTCCTTTTGCTCTGTATCCCATCGAAGTCCACCAGACACAAATTCAAATATCAGTATGACTGTGAGCAACAGACAGCAATGTAAAATATGTTTTGTTGTACTGTTCAACATTATTCCTGCAAATTATAATATACATTTACTAAATAATTTTAATTCTAAAAATCTAATATATAAATTTAAATTATACTTAATCTAAGCAATTAAAAGTACAAATGTGTTAATTTTATTGATAAGAGACATACAAGAGATTTCAGAGATTATATTTTTTATAATTTTATGATTAATTGATTTGAACAAGCAATTTAACCTAAATTATAATATACTTGTGCTTAGTGAATGATGAGAGCAACTATTTTTGAATAGCAAAGATTAATTTGGCCTTCAGTTATAGAACTAAATGTATTAGGTATACATACACAGTACACAGTCTATATATAAATATATGTTACATATATGTATACACACACACAACATACACAACTTTAACGTAGCATTGCTACACGTCACGGTTGACTAAATTGTGCTGCTAATTAGGAAAAACTCGTTAGAGAATTAGAAGTGATGACATAGTGAAATGATGACTCAGAATTCCACAGAGATAATAAGTGAATTGATAACTGAAGCATGACTCATTCGATTTATTGCGAATTATGACTTAAGATATCGGTTGTCAAATCGAAATATTATAACTAAAATATTACCGAGATCGAGGAGATCGTATTCCCGCGAATATCTCCGTGAAATTTGACAGATTTGACTACAGGTGTTCCACCCGCTATCAACGGCGGCACTCTCGCTTGTGTAACCTTATCAATATCGCCGCGCTTCGTTCCTCGTGATACACGATCGCAACATGATTTGTAGATTGTTGTGAGAGGAGCGAGATATATGTGGCAGCCTAACGGACCGTAAACTAAGGTCTCGTAAATGTCGCGTGCGACCTCGAGATCGCAAGGAAGCTGTCGCGTAGCCTCCTGTTAATTTCGTTTTGCCGCCTGGACGCGCGAAACGTCGAGCTTTCGACGTTTTCTTTTTAATAACGAACACAATTGCATATACATATATATATATATATATATATATATACACCTGTGGTAGACGATGAATGCTTAGGTGTGTGTGATGATCCTAGACGCGCCGATACCACCCATTCTCCGGAACAGCTGATTTATCGATGCTCCGTCCTTGCGTTAATGCGTTTTCCCATAATTTTTCAGCGAACACTCGGTTTTTTTACGTGCAAGAACACACGCATGCATGTATATACATATATACAGTCCGCGATTTGATGCACCGGTTCGCGCTTTCCGAATATAAGTTCGTGATGGCGTGATCACAAGTATTAGATTTAGAAAGAAGCTGAATGTTATTTTGACAAAAAACTAAGCGTATACAAATGTAGTATGAACACCGCTCCATCTATGCACACGTCCATTTCGCGAACTAAAATAACGAATCTTTATCGACTATCAAAAAAATAGAAAATATCCACCAATAGAAGCAGAGAATATTATCTAATATCTATCTTCTTTTTCGATTGGTTGATATTTTCTATTTCTTATTTCTATTGCCTGTTTCCTGGCATTGTGCAAAGCCTTTATTTACTGCACCAATTTGCATTAGTTCACTAGTGCAACAATAAAGAACAAACCTAGAATATATTTGTTTTTACTTTAATCATGATGTAATAAAATGTAATTACATCATGACTTTAATTATAAATTAAGCAATATAATGTTGTGCGATAACAATAAATGCATTGAAGCATGCAAAACGCAATTTTACTCTTATATTTTGCTTTTATATATAGCCTCATGTCCCATACAGCACAGATTATTGCAATTATATTGCAGCAACGTTGCAATGTTGCAAGTTGCAATGCAACATTATAAAGACATTGCAGAGATATAGGTGCACAAAAATTCCAGCACATTTTGTAGCAACATGACATTAATATTTCGGAAATATTGCATGTAATCCAAATTCTATAATTTATATATTGTAATATATATAAATTAATTACAACGTATTTTCATTAATGATTTATTTACATTTATACCTGTATATAGCAACATTAGTTTATGGTTGCAATAACAATGCATTATTGCAAATTCATAACATTGCAATATTGTTGTAATATTTTGTTGCAATCTTCCAAAAAGCGGACATTTTAACATTGCTGCAATTCAACAGCAATGATGTAGCAACATTTTGCAGTGAATTTGCAATATTGCAATATTGCGGTGAAAGATTGTTGTAATGTTTTTGCAATCTATCGGTGCTGTATGGGTTTTCTTTTAACATGCAAACCCATACAGCACCGAAAGATTGCAAAAACATTACAAACAATCTTTCACCGCAATATTGCAATATTGCAAATTCACTCAAAATGTTGCTACATCATTGCTGTTGAATGCAGCAATGTTAAAATGTCCGCTTTTGGAAGATTGCAACAAAATATTACAACAATATTGCAATATGTTATGAGTTTGCAATAAGTATTGTTATTGCAACCATAAACTAATGTTGCATATACGGTATATAAATCTGTAAATAAATAATTAATGAAAATACGTTGTAGTTAAGGGTCGGCAGGCGACATGGTGGAGACGCCTATCGGCCGGCCGGGAATTACGGATTCTTATTTTCCAGATATTAGCGAAAATATTGAATGAATCTTATTAAATTTAGGATATTCTTAATCAGTAAGCTCATTTGTAGTCCTCTAAAGAGCTATTTTATGAAAAAAAGATAAAAATAAAAATTTTTAATAAACTTGGGGGAATGCACAGCTAGGAACGGGTAAGGTTGGGTTAGCCGCGAGTCCGTATTTTATTTATTATAAATTTTTAAGAGCGAAAATGTAAAATCCGGCCTTTTAGAGGACTGCTTTATTATATAAAGAATATATTAAAAAAAATTCACGAAGTTATGTCACTTATTTTATGAAATATCTGGACGATAAGATTCTCACTAGATTCATAAGGAGCAGGGGAAATTTCTGTGGTAACATGCTGACTGCTTGACAAGGAGAGAGCATCATTCCATCTTTGTCTCTCTTACATCGCATATGTAGTAGCGTCCATGTAGGTACAAACACTAATACGTGAGCACACGGATGCAAATATTGAGAGATAATGTCAGCAAAAAGGCTATCATATTATTTTATTTTTTTGTATATGTATGCATATGTAAATAAAGAACAAAAATAAAAACTATTTTAAGATGACATTTTATAATTAATTTTCTATATGTATTTGCATTTTATTAATATGTATTACATTTTTGATATGTTTTTAATTTATAATTTATATAAACATAAGTATGAAATAAAAATTGAAATAGTTCTGAAAATAAGTATATTAATGATAAAATTATTCAAAACAATAAAAAAATTAAATTTAATATTTTTTAGTGTTTGTACCTACATGGACGCTACTACATATGCGATGTAAGAGAGACAAAGATGGAATGATGCTCTCTCCTTGTCAAGCAGTATTAAAAGCCATATTAAAAGCTCTAGCTTCATTCAATTAATAATCCAATATAATAATCAACAATTATTTTTATATAATATATAGTATTTTTAAATATTTTTAAATATTTAAAATATTTTTTTTAAGATTAATTGAGGAAAAGAATATTTTAAATATAAAAAAATATTTTAAATATTCTTTTTCAATTAATTTTTAAAACAAATTTTTAAAAATATTTTTATATATTCAAATATTTATTATATTATATAAAAATTATTGTGAATTATACTCATTGGAGTAATAATTATTGATTGAAGCTTGTTATGGCACAAACTGAACATCTTGTACATTGTCTGTATAATATTTTACTTATTTATAAAATGTTTTTATAAATAAATGAAATATTATATATATATAATATATAAGATTATAATATATAAGATTATTGATGTTACATTGTATAACTCTCATTTCTTTCTCTCTGCTACATAAGTACTTATGACGTGAAAGAACTTACGAGTAACGTATGATGGCTCAATGCAAGAATATTTAATCACGTAAAAAACTTGAGTTCAAATATATCAATATCAATTTTTTTATAATATATGGAATATAGAAAATCATAGAAATATATTTTTATATAGGCGATAAACTTAAAAATTTGATATTGAAAATATTTTAATCATTTTACAACTACACATACTATAAATATATAAATGCAAAATAATTCCGTAAATAAATTTCAAGTAATAAATCAATTGCACACATGCACACAGCTGGTATGTAGATTTTTATTAAATTTATTTTCTGAATTATTTTACACTTATATATAGTGTATGTAGTAAAAATATTTTCAATATATTAAAAAATTTTTAAATCGCCGAAATATATTTTTTTATCATTTTCTATATTCTAATATATATATATATATATTATAAAAAAATTGATATTGATATATTTGAACTCTAATTTATATACTGGATGATATACTGAACATCCTTGCATTGATTATACATTACTCAACGTTCTTTCACGTTATAAGTATTTGGAGCAAATTATACAATAGCATCAATAATCAAAAAGAAATCAAGAATATAATCAACATATCCCTTATATAATATATATATATATATATATATATATATATATATATATGTTATATATATACGTTATGCACATATGTGCATAACCATATATATACTTCCAAAAAGTGGGTGCTTATTAGTCTTGCTACGTTACTGCTTTCTGCTACGGAAGGCCAGAAAGCATTTTCAGGCGGCATCTCGCGTATACCGGCACGGTAGATGAACAAGGAGAACACGTGATTATCGGTCCTTGTCTCTCTTACGTGCGTCCGCGTGAGCGATGCAGTTGGTGTATGTACGTGTACAGACATACACCACTACATAAAACCCGAGAATTGGTTTCTCGGCGTTGGCAACACTGAAACCGGAGTTTCGCGTTGTCACCGCACGAGGTCTCCAATATCAATTCGGAGTTTGCCTGGGTGTACTGCCGACCCTTATTTCATATATATTACAATATATAATTATAGAATTTGGATTAATGCAAATTTCCGAAATATTAATGTTCATGTTGCTACAAGTGTGCTGGAATTTTGTGCACTTATATCTCTGCAATGTCTTTATAATGTTGCATTGCAACTTGCAACATTGCACCGTGCTGCAATATATTTGCAATAATCTGTGCTGTTGGGAAGTCTGAACATAAATAGTCAATAAACCATTTAAAACATGATATGACACGCTTCCGCGTAATCCGCTTCATGGGACGCCGGCCTTACTGTGAACGTCCATGCACGCGATGGTCGATTGTTCTGTCATGTATATCATGAAATTGTTGGGAATAGGACTTTATGATTTTCGACATCAATTCTCTGTAAATAGTAGCTGAAGTAGTAGGTAGCGTGCACAAGAATCTAATTGCAAGAGAAAAATATCGTAAAAGCTTAAATTTATAGTTTCTTTGTAATTTCTTTAGCAGCAAAACATGGGAAAATTGGATGTTAAATTGTTGCGATATTTGACATCAGAAGATTTTCGTGTTTTAACAGCGGTATGTATTTCTTAAACTATAATAGGATTTTGAACTTGTATTTTCTTTTTATAAAATATTACAAACTGTTTACACAATCTATTTTTTGTGTTACTTTTTTTTGAAGAATATGCAAAATTACTTTTTTATTTAATAAAATTTAGTACATTTTTCATTGCACAATGATCTTAACTTTTCAAATTTTTTTCAGTCATTGATTGAGTATATTCCATTTACAATCAGAATATGAACATTAAATCTAAACTAAATATCCAATCATTTTTAGATTGAAATATGCTCGAAGAATCACGAACTTGTACCTGGATTACTTGCTGCGAAAATAGCGAATCTGCGTTACGGTGGTGTTCAGAAACTGTTGAGTGAGTTATGCAAGCACAAGTTGCTCAGCTATGAACGAGGAATACGATGTAAGATAATTGAAAACTGGTGCATGTGACTATAAATTTGATTAAAAATGCATTTAAAACATGTTTA